CGTGAACACGATAGAATGTACATACAGTGAAATACGATCTCATCAATGGTTGCAGCGAATACATGACGGATTTTATGTTCTCAAAGTACACAACAGATTTTGCTATAATTTATTAATTTGTTATATTTTATTTCATTATATCATTCAAAAAGATCTTATACTTAAGCAACTTTCTCGAAAAATCTAATTGTTTTCTAAGCACATTTTAAGTATTTATCTCTACTAATATAATAATGTACGAATATAAAGGATAAATTGTGTTTTTTTCAATCTCTTCCTTCACTCGCTAATTCAACTTCGTCCATTGGCTCTACATCACGAAGAAAGTAACTTCAACGCCAATCATCATCAGAATACTCTTCCTAGAGAATGTATCATTATGTCTTCTCGCGCGCGTTTTATTCTCCGTAATTATCTATTCGCTCCTTAAGGCAATAGAGACAATTGATGTTTATAGAAATCTGCAAACACATTCACAAAAACTAAATAATTCTTATTTCATAACATAAAAAACAAATTTAAGAAAATGATGTATATTTGAAAAATAATTGTTCTATAGTTTATTGAAATAAAAAATAATTTGTAAAATTTTGTATATAAAATAAAATAATAATTTTAAAAAATTTTCATCAAGCATATATATGTATAAAGAAACGTAAGCATTTATTAAATTTACTAATCAACATTACATTTTGTTAATCGCAATGTCATTATTGATATCTTTTCAATAATAAGTATCAATAATGACATGATACCTTAGTTGCGTTCCGCAGAAAAAGCAATGACTAGTAAGATTCTTTAATATAATTAGTTTATACGTTTAAATCCAGTGAGAGAAACTAAGAGCGGAACCAAACATGTTAAAGACTTTTATAACAGTTTCAAAGCTGCTTTTTCTGCTGAACACAGCTATTGTTTCTATAAAATAAAAGAAATCATTATCCTTTCCTCTTCCCTTCTTTGAATTGTATCTAGTACACGGAAAGAACAATTTTACTGACAAATCTAAAATATTATTGGATACAGAACTGAAAATAATTTTATTAGACCATCAAAATTATGTTGAAAACTAAATAACGGTAAGCAGTACTACACAAAAATTTTAACATTCAACCAGTTTGAGTTCCAATACAATTCTTTTGATAGCCCAATAAAATTATTTCCAGATCTTTCAGCAAAATCGTTTTTTCCATGTGCAATCTGATTTCTGTAACTTATTATTAGTCATTAAAGCGGGTAATAATCAGTAAAATGGTAATAAAGTAAAATGTTTTTAAATCATCGTTGACCTCGTGCGGAAGAAATATGAGAAATAAAGACGCTCGTACATCCGCGACTTAAGGGGATGCTAAACCGATTACCTAACTCGATCAAGGTCGATAGTACAGACTTTTTTAATTCTAAATTCGATAATAGTGGTGACATCTTTGATTTAGTTTTTACATTATATTATATAATATATATCATTCTGTCTTACTCAAACGCATACATCTGTTCTTATCTAACATATGCCAGCACCATCTATCGCAAGACCGCGCGACTACTGCTACACGGAATTTAGGCTCTGTTGACAGTCCCAGTCTTCGCAAAGCACCTGTATACACATATTTTCTATTCGGTGGTAATATTTCTTTTCTAGACTTTCAATCTTAGTTCTACAAACTCGATATCGTTCGTTTCAATAATGTGACCTCAGCTGCACGCTTATTTTCAAGATATGGACTCTAAAACTCTTATATCAAGCAAATATACATATATCTGAGGTGACAGCTGTACGAGACAAAAATAAGTAAATTTTTAACGAATCTGAAACTTTTTTCGATTTTCTCACGAAATCTAGTGCAGCTGAGGTCCTGTTTGTGCGTACTTTAATTTAAGCAATAATACTTTTGCAATCCGTACATCCAATACAGAGATTTTTCACCGAATGAAAATGTGGTAAAACAGGAGGGTTTAGCATCGCCTTAAAAGGCGGGCACTCGCAGCTCGCATCTATTCCATTCTGCGGAGAATTACAAGCGGCAAACCGGCGCAGCGCAAAGTCGCCACTTCGGCGACGTCGAGCTCTTCATATGAGATCTGAACGAGAACGCATTCATCGCTACCATTTTTATTCGGGTGCACCGCTCCGGCTTGGAACGACGACACGTGTAAACGCGAATTTAAAGGCCGTTATGCGACGAGTATAGGTCATGATAAAGCATGGTGAATCCTGTATCCGCGCTCGGTTCATTCCGACGTACTTTGTTCAGAAATTCAGTCGGCGACTGAAAAATGGAGGCATGATAGCAAGAACTTCAAAGCAGCCAACTCTTTTGGGAGAAATTGTCACGTAATAGAATTGCCACCCATGCGATAAAAAATATAAAGAACCTTCAAACAGTAGAAATATATTATGGATTTCGTGTACGAATAATGATGCACTGAGAGAAAAAAATAGTACCAGTAACTATAAAAGTATAGTGAAATAGCACCTTAAGAATAAAAAATAGTTGTCGGAAAAAAGTCTCATAGTTAATTGAAATACAGAAATATAGTTGGAATAAGTGGACAATATATTTGACACGACTATGGGCGAATAGTTAAGTGGCAAACTATATTTTTATCATCATTAGTACTACACTGAAAATCGTTGCCGCAACTACAAAAGTATGGTGAAATAGCACCTCAACTATTCATAATTAGTTGTGGGAAATAAAATACCGTAGTTAATGGAAATGCACAAATATTGGTAAATACAACCAAATAATATAGTTATTAGTACTACACTGAGAATCGTTGCCGCAACTACAAAAGTATGGTGAAATAGCACCTCAACTATTCATAATTAGTTATGGGAATAAAAATATCATAGTTAATTGAAATGCAGATATTGGCAAAATATATCTAAATAATATAATTAATATTTGTGAAGTTCTGCGATTATTATCAATAATATTGTTGCCACAACTATATTTTTATAGTTACTATTACAATAATTTTTTTTTATGATATAATTTTTATTTCTTAATTATTATATCAATATATGTACAATTTATTTATATATTTGTTACGCATACAATTTATTTAATTACAATTACTCATTGGATATTTGAAAAAATGCATGGGGTATCTACAGGATTTGAACTTAAGACCTCTAGGTTAGTAACCTACCTACGTTAACGCTGAGCTAATTACATGCTTGGATGCTTGATGTATTCGATTGTTACTACTCCCAATCATATCTCGCGCGAATCAAGTGAGATTTCTCGCAAGAGTGTATCAAAATCTGTTTCCCTGAATAATTTTATAAATTATTTATATCTTATGTAACACAAGAATAAATTGTAATTAATAATAGTTATGGCAACCATTCAACTTTAGTTGAAACAACTTTAAAGTAGTAAAATACCAGGGAATGGAAGTAACTCGTTACTTGTAACGAAGTTACAGTTACAAGTTACTTTTTTGGTAACTTTACTAGTAACTGCGTTACTTTTTTTCTTTGATAACTGTAACGGTAACGAAGTTACATTTTTTTGGTAACGGTAACGAATTTTACAGTTACTTTTATCGTTACTTTGCACAAGATTGGACACGATGCGACACAAGTCACTTACACTGTAAAAAAATTTCGTAAATTTACACATATAATAAATGTAAAATAGATTACATGATTAGTTCTGTAAATATAAAAAATCATGCAATTTTACAGAAATTATGTAATTCCATAAAAATTATGTAAATTTATTTTTATTGTGTAAATATATCTTATTTTATATTGGAAATTATGTGAATAGCAGGATATTTTGAATATTTTCTGTAATTATCCAAATTTTAGTAATATTACGTAATATAAAAGAAATTTTTCGCGTATTGTTGTTAAATGTATAATAATATATAGTGCGAAATATATTGTCATATTATCGTTCCTGTAGCTACACATACACATTGTAATTGTACTTCCACAATCTGCTTAGTTCCAAACCAAGAAATTATTTTTATTTGCATATTGCAAATATACAAACGTGTGGACGTTTACAACTATTATAGTGAATCTCAAAATTATCCAGTATAATAGTTATAATTTTACACAATTTTTTACAATGCGCTTGAGACTAAAGAAGCCTCTAGGCCAGTCCGCTGTGATTGTTGGTCGTCGATTTAAAAAAAAGTAACGGAAAAGTAACGAAAAGTTACTTTCTCAAGTAACGGTAACTGTAACGAGTTACTTTTAAAAATCGGTAACTAGTAACGGTAACTTGTTACTTTTCCTACTGGGTAACGAGTAACTGTAACTTGTTACTTTTAAAAAGTAACTTTCCATTCCCTG